AAAAGCATAGAATGTCAAGTAATTTTCTGTTCCTTCACAGATACGTCTTTAAACAAACATTAATGCTTTCCTACTACAAGATTGAGTTGACCGGATTGAGTTTTCACTTAATTATAGTATACTGAGACTTGAGTATCCTGAAGTAAAACCACCATTTATGTTAGTATAGGCCTAGAGATTACATTATTAACTTTCTGCAAATAATGATACAATTCTTTACACCACCCCCCCCCCCCCCCCCTAAACCCATTATTTTATTAAAGCATCATGGACATTAGTGAGGACACGGCCCAAATGCAATTTACCACTCTTCTTAGACTTATGGCATGCTAGACTATGGGGCAATTACCTTACAGCTTGGCTAGGCCAACAAAAGGCCCAGGTTCTAGGCCTGCCCTATATCCTCAATGGCCTAGAGAGAACAGAGAACCTCAGTTCTGTCTGTCTCTGTACAGCGGCTAGACTAGAATTACCGGTCAGCTAGGACTAGGCCTTTAGGCTATACTAGGCCAGGCCTCTTCATTCAAGCCTTCATCTAGCACTACTACTAGGCCTAGGAGGAGGCTAGCGTGTCTGCTAGAGTAGTAAACTAACTAAATAATAAAACAAAACCAACTCATTACCACTTGATAGTGAATAAAGTACTGCTACTCTTTCAATCACATTCTTTTGTTCCATCTCCAGCAACTCTGACTTCAGTTTATCTTTGAGCTCTAATGGTATGCTCCTTGCATCTTTTTAGACCCAGTATTGCCGGTCCCTCAGTTCCAGTCACAAAGAATTTAAATGTGAAAGGTTTCCCCTTATGCTCTGCTCTAATGCTCATTATTCCTAGCTGCTTTATTTTTGATCCACCGTAAGCTAGTAGTAGAACACTGCTTGGTTCCAGTACACCATATTTTGGATATCCTTTATCTGTTACGTTTTCAAGGTCTATTTCTTCTTCTTGTTGGTGAATGCCTTTCCTTTTAGTGTATCGTTTATTTTGACTTACCGGTTTTGATGAGTATTTCTTCATCACAGGCACAGGCTTGCCTTTGGTTTTGCACATTTTCTCCCACTGATTTTCTTTCCCAAATGCTCTACATGTTGATCCATAGGCTGGACATTCCATGTAACTGTGATAAGTACCACAGAATTTGCATGGTTTTTTTCTTGCGTTTTGTGGGTTATTCTTGTGCTTTCTAATAGCATCTACTTGTTCTTTAGTTTTCAGTTCTAGTCGTACACTCTCAGTTTGTTCCTTTAGTGTCACCATTTGTTTCTTTGTGGCTTCGTACGTCCTAGCTACGTCTAAGGCCTTCTCTAGTGTTAGATTGTCTTTGCCTATTAACACTTGTTGCACTTCCGGGTAAATATAGATCCCCAAATGATTTGGTCGATCAATCTATCATTTATGTCGGAGAATTTACACTTCCCTGCCGTATTCTCTAATCTCGTAAGGAAGTTATCTATCGTTTCTTCACTCGATTGTTTAAGGTTCTGAAATTCGTACCTTTGTATCCGGTAGTTTGTTTTGGGCTCCAAGTGCTGGCTGAACTTTTCAAAAATATTCGCCGTGGTCACGTCATCCCCTTCAATGTCAATGTCTCAGCTGTTAAACAGATCTAATCCTGTCCATAATAACACGTAACTTACATGTTACCTGTCTCCAATATCCTTCAAGAAACTGCTAAAAGCTAGATTGCATTTTTGTTCAAATTTCCGAAATGCATCTATGATATCGTCGGCGTCCCAGTTCATTGACGAGTGAATAGTCGTGGGCGCAGCCATATTGTTTACAGTACTTCAGGCAGGCAGGCAGGCAGGCAGGCAGCTTACCTCGGCGATCGTACGTACGTACGTTGGTAAACCTCTATCTAAGTATAGCTAGAAAATCGTCCTTTCTATGCTTTTTCTACTCCAATTGTCCACTTACTGTTTACGTTTCTATGATTCGTAACACCGCTGCTACCATGTTATATTGTTGTTGTTGCTGTGAGACAATAGCCATTTTTCGTTTTCACTACGCGGCCAGTCTACTACGAACTAATAGAGCGTAACAGACATCTGCGCATGCTCACAAACCTTACTGGCTAAATCGGCGTTGTGACAGCTTCGGCGACAACCCCAATTTCTGAATTTGGCGTTGTGGCGACTATCCTAATATTGACCAATCAGATCACCGGATTGTTTGGCAAACTGCTGGTAACTTTTTTGTTGGGGGTTTGCAATTTTCATCGCATCCGCGATCGAGCATTGTTCGTTTAATAATGAATTACTGTAATTATTAAAACAAGTGAGTAATTAAATGTTTTATGAAGGCCTATTTATACACATTGCAATAAATGAGGAATGAATAGTCAGAACATAAAATTAGGTAAATCAGGGGATAGTAAAAAAAGGGCCTTATGCCTATAGGCTACTAGCCTAGCCTTGTCAGGGTGGATTTTGGGTAGGAGTAAACATATTATCTGGTGCTGCTAGCTAGGGCATCCACCCTTGACATCGTGGATCAAGCCTTGCTATATAAATACCTCTGTTTAAAATTGTTATTTATTTGTACATCATTGTTGCATTTGGCAAATTGCCGAAGACAGGCCTGACACCCCTCTTCTCCCGGTTAACGACTCTTTTGACACCCCAAATAGCAAACAAACGTTATATTAACGTTGATTTCACGTTTACCGCATACGTTGATTAAACGTTGTAAAGCTAACGTTGTACTAACGTTGTTTTGCTCATTACAATAACGTTTCCACAACGTTATATTTTCGTAAACTATAAACGTTATTCTAACGTTACATTAACGTTGGTGTTTGGGCGTTGGTTTAATGTTACCACTTCAACGTTTTCTCAACGGCAATCTTCTTACGTTCGCACAACGTTATATTTTGGTTACTACTGAACTGTAAAATAACGTTATTCTAACCATACAATAACGTTGGTATTTGAACGTTGGGTTAACGTTACCACCCTATCGTTGCACTAACGTTGTTTTGCTCATTACAATAACGTTTCCACAACGTTATATTTTCGTAAACTATAAACGTTATTCTAACGTTACATTAACGTTGGTGTTTGGACGTTGGTTTAATGTTACCACTTCAACGTTTTCTCAACGGCAATCTTATGTTTGCACAACGTTATATTTTGGTTACTACTGAACTGTAAAATAACGTTATTCTAACAAAACAGTAACGTTGGTATTTGATCGTTAGGTTAACGTTACCATTCTATCGTTGCACCAACGTTATATTGCTCATTACAATAACGTTCCTACAACGTGATATTTTGGTTAGCAATAAACGTTATTCTAATGTTTCATTAACGTCGGTGTTTGAACGTTGGTTTGGCGCTACCAATCTAACGTATTTTCTACATTATTTTTTACTAATAAACAGAGAATTAACGGCATTCTAACATTACATCAACGTTGGCATTTGAATGTTAGTTTAATGTTGCCAACCTAACGTCACATTAACGTTGGTGTTTGAACGGTCAGTTTAACGTTCCCAACCTATAGGTTTGTTATATTAGCGTTGACACAACGTTAAATTTTGGTTACTATAAAATGGTACAATATCGCTATTCTAACGTCATATTAACGTTTATGTTTAAGTTTTGATTGAACTTTACAAACCAAACGTTTTTTAAACGTTGATATTCTAAGGTAACCCAATTATAACGTTGCATGTTGGTTAACATTAACAATGAGATAATGCTATTCTTACGCTAATTAAAAATTAGGAAAGACAATAGGAATTTGTATACTAAAATCTCGGGATTTTCTTTAATTTTTATTTCCTTTGCAAAGAATAGTAAAAGGCTCCTTTTAGGAACACAGCAGAACTAAGTCAAAATTACTGTTATCGGACGGGTGCTATCAGCCATTGATCATCTGTCAACACACATTATTGAAGTAAACTTTAACACATGATATTTAACAAAGGAATTTTCAAAACTTGATTCCAATTTACACAGGAATTTTCACTTCCACAACATAGAGTGTAACTCCAGCTTTCAAATCATGTTCATAATTTTATGATAATTAATTTATAATTACAGAGTTCTTGCTGTCTCACTTTTATGAACTACTATTTTATAAATTCATTCACTCGTCCATATAGTGACATACAAAATGGAAGTCTTATTTTGATTATAGTAAACTATAGCTAAATCCATGTTGATAGCAAGACATGGGCCTTTTATGTACTTCAGAGTGGCGGTAAACAGCCTTGTAGATTCGCACTTCTTGCCCACGTTAGCATACAATTTCGATTCAAGCAATTGTGTTTCTTGCTGCAAGTACTGTTTTTTCCGTAAATTTCTTTAAATTTTGTCCAGCAAAACATTCCTCACAGTGTAATCAATGTACATAAACAAAGGTTCAGGACGAAATTACAACACGTCCCTAAATTAAAGACGCTGCCTCTTTTGCCTCTCATTCCGGCCCTCATCTTTTCCGCTGCAAATTTCAGCCATTCTTTTACTACCTTTCCAATGTCCGCATCTGTAGCCTTGCCTGTCAGGGCGTTTTTACGGTTAGCACCTAGAAAAAATGTAGTTTTAGTAATTATTTTATAGTTACTGGAAGTTTAGACATAATATTTAGACCACAGGTGGGCAAAGTGCGGGCCGCATGCGGCCCGACAGCGATTTGTTTGCAGCCCGCGACAATGAATTAAAAACCCTATGTGTGCGGCCCACCAAGCCAAACTGGCTAGAAAACACCTTGTTTTTTACGGCCCGAAACCCATCATATGTAAAAAGTAACATTAAAACTGAGAATAAAGTGGTGTAAAAGCAGTGCTTGGAGGTTTTTGGAAGCTCATTGGAAACATCAATGTTTGGGTGCGGCCCGCGGTGTTAAATCACAAATTCACTTTGGCCCTCGACCGATATTCATGCAATATATGATATATATATATATATTTGCAAACATACAACAATTAAATAAAGTTACAGTAAAATTTATAAGAAATAATTATTTACAAAAAAAAAAGGCCTACCGGTATGTAAAATTAAAAGTCAATCAATTGCCTACATTGTATAGTAGTTGAGGTAGTGGATTTATTATAATTTATTTTAAACACAATAATTATATATAATATAACACGTGCTTTCGAGATTACACAAAACAGTAAAAGACAATAAAATGAAATAAATTATACGTATTTACTCCTATTAAAATCGTTGATATTATAATTTCTTTTTATTTTCTTTTCCTGTTTTATAATATACAGCAGGTATCAGATCAGGGAGATCAGGAAGCTATTATCAGGCTCTGTGAAACTTACTATTGACTACTTTCCTCAGAGTTAATTTGGCAAAAGCTCACCTTTCTCCCTTTTCTCCCCAGTTAAATTGCTTGGAAAAAGAATAAGTCAATTGTTGAATGGTTCCGTGCCTGTAACAGAAGATTAAAATACTGTAAAACTTTTTTGCAATAGCAATCCCCATGAAAAATATACCTGCGTGGGTCTTCATTCTGTAACCTGTACCTTAACTTCTTAGGGCTGATGCAGCGGCGCAAAATGAAAAATGAAGGACCTTTGAAGGATTAATATTGAGACTGCTGTTGGTGTAGTGAGCACTATGTTCGCCCTATCTGGAATCCACATCCATCCTGTATGTGCTAATTAGATCCCCCAATATTACTATTTATATTATCTTGTGGTGGACCGAATAGAATATTCGGTCAATCTTATCTAATATTTATTTATTAATTTTTCTTTATTAAGTTTTCCTTTTTTAACTTATATGTTTATATTTGATTTAAAGGACATTGCATTTAAAAGGCTTATCCTTCTGCAAATGTCCCTTTATTGACTATTCACGGTGCTCTTTGTACATTTTTATTTTGTTCAATATATATTGTAACTTGCTGTAAATGTGTGAAAATAAAAATGATTTGAATTGATATTGAATTGAAAGATAGCAGTTGAATTATGAATAATTATTGACAATCCTGTTTTAATTACTATTATGTAAGCTTTCCTTTTTCATTTACTTTATAGGTCAATTAACAAGGAGAAAGGAGAACTTTAGGGTTTCTACATATTTATCATTTTATGATTATCCTACTAGTACTACAGTACATATTTAATTATAACACTGTAGCCTTAGATTCAATAACATACATAAATAAAAACAGAAGTCGCTTTAAAGGTCAAATTACCACGAACACACTAGTAGATACCGAAACATTAGTATTAGTGTTACAATAACAGTCCGCTTCGAGGCCCATTTCTTCCACAGAAACTAAGTATTATTAATACTAGAAATTGCAAATTGCAAGTGAAGTGCTGCGAAGTACGACTGCATATAAATGTTTTATGCGAGTCAAGTGAAAATAATGAATAATAAAAATATAACAAATAATATGAGACACGACCCATTGTCTATATTTTGGGTAACAAAGTCGTAATTTTTCATTTTTGTCAAAAAGTGTCTGTTGTGAATTTGGTTTAGGTTTTTTTTAATAAAGTTTCAAAAATTTCTATGTATGTGACTGCATGGTCTAGGAAGTGTACATTTTGTTATGGGGCAAGTTTCCAAGGGCGGGTTTTCAAGGGGCGAGTTGACTGCCAAAGAGTGTTGCCAAAGTGCGAGCCAGCGTGTTATTTGATCACAAGTGCGATACATCGCAAGTGTGACCCAACGAGCAATGACGTCACGACAATAGATACGAGACGTTACTCGAGTTGTGTGAGGTATCGGCTGAGATTTGTGGAGTACTATTCAAAAAACAACTATAGGTCTAATAATGAATTATTGTGATGTTAAATATACAATGTTAGCTATCAAGGAGCGACGTTGTTTTTCATTGGGACCTTCGTCCCTTCAAGGCTAGGCCTATACCTTCCTAGCTAGTCTAGGCCTAGAGTAGGATAAGGCTAGCGCGACATGCGGACCTTGGTACGTGTTGGTTAGTCTACAAGCGTCGCCTAAAGTAATTGATTTTACCCGGCAGAACGAAAGAAGGAAACTCCACTTTTCAGTCGTCTTAGGCCCTTGTTTTTTGAAAAACAATGACCTTTCAGGGGTCAAATTGCTGTCAAGAATATGAATTGGCTGCTTCGCAGCAATTATTGCCATTATTGTTATTACAAGGCCTACTACTACCACAATTAATAATAATTCAGACTTCTCAAGGGGATTGGAACCCCGACCCTGCGCCAAACCACTTCTACTTGACCAAAGTCAGTGGCAATGGACCTTAAGGGCCTAGTATATTAATCAGCTTTTTTCTGCCAGGACCATAGACCCTCCTTCAAACCATGTGTCATAAATCAGTCATGTGTTAACACATCAAAAAGTCAGTCACCAGAGCAAACTGGAGCTTCTACCCCATACCTCTATCTGTGCCCTGCACCAGGCCCTGGCGAAGTATGTGCTTTACGTACAATTAATACTTCCTGGAGCCATATGTGCCCACACATAGGTGTGCTTTACATTGTGTGCTTTACATTAATACTTTTAACAATAATAAATTTTATGTAAAAATTATAAAATTTTACTCATCATTGAGCATTAGGAATATAGTAGTACAGTATCTATGTGCTACTGTATCAATCAATCAAACTCTACTGTAGGCCTACAACACAAAAAACCCAAATAATTATGTTTCATGTAATTGACCACAAGGCTTATCTTTAGGCTTAATGTTTACAATTCACATTTAAATTACCTTGTATTTGTATTACCAGGGCTGATCATCCTTCCGTAGTTGTGAGCACAGGTTTCTCTTCTTTGATAGTCAACAATGGTTAATGGAATAAATGATTTTCACACGTATCTGTGAGATGTGCCAACACTTATCTGATAATTCAGAGATTTGAAATATGTTACAGTAAAAAACAATTGGTTAATGAGCAACAATTGACAGGGTAACCAAAGAATTAAAACGATATCAACTACTAACCATAACTTATCATATCAACTTCTGTCCATCATTATCTTTTTTTTTTTCAACTTCATTTAGGTACTTTCCACTACTCTACCATGTTCTCTTGAATTAGAAGTCATAAAATGAGTGTAATACAGGTACATTGCAAATTATAAAAAGGGCAATACATTTTTTAATGGGGAGGATAATACTGTCTGTATGCAGCATCAGAAGGTGGCTTTCTAGTCAAAACGGCAATAAGTGACTAAATCAAAACGGCAATAAACCAAAACAATGATAATAATAATAATAATAATAATAATAATAATAATAATAATAATAATAATAATAATAATGGCCTATAACAACAACATACATACAAACGAATTCAATAATAAAAAGACTGGGGAAACACAATATCAAACAAAGCAGTAGACAATTCAAATAAATAAAACTTTAAAATACATTGGAAAAAATATGAGGCAAAACAATTTATGTACAGCAATTAAAAGAAAAAAAATGCGAAAAAAGAAAGAAAAATAAATAATAATAATATTATTAACAATTGGCAGGGCCTATGCCCTAGCCTAACCAAGTTGTAGTAGAGTAGGTAGCTAGGCCCCTAGCATAGGGCTAGGCCTTATTGTACGAAAAACTAGGTACTAGTCTAGGCCTGCCTATAGGCCTAGTAGGTAGGCTAACTACAGTACAGACAGACAGTCGGCCTAGGCCTAAGTTAGCTACGAAGATAGGGTAGGCCCAGTATGCTCTGGATTTTTATTATTATTTTTTTTACATTAGTATGGTTCTATTCTTATCTTACCTTTTTTATCGAACACTGCATCATCAGCTGCTGCACCGTCCTAGCTAGCCTAGGCCCTAGCCTAGGCCCACTGGCCCAGCTAGGCTATACGGCTTCGTCGGCTAGTAGAGGTTGTATGAAACATTCAATCAATCAAGTTGTGTTGAATATTAAGTCTTGCATCAACGAATTATCCTTGCTTTGTAGTTATCAGTGAGCAAACCAGCTAATTGTTGTATTTTGTACCTTAAAATCACAGATATTTGTCAGACATTGGTAGGCCGGGACTCCACTGGTACCTGGTACTGTACACACAATGAATTGGAATGTGGATCCTAGGTTTCCATTGGTCAGTTTCGTAAGGTTAAAGGAGTGGCCAATGACGGCAGGGCATATAATGATGTCATTCACTCCGCTTGTGTGTGTGTGGGGGGGGGGGGGGGTCGGAAACCTGGAACGCCATATCACTACCACATGGAGGATGATACCAATGACCATACAAATAATTAAATATATGAATAAATTTTAGTGTAAGAGTACCATGAGATGATAAAAATACACCACACTAATTTATATGTAGAACTGTACAATTTATTCCAAGTGAAAAGCGTATTTACAAAATCACTTGAGAAACAAGTTGATATATACAAATTGATAAACAAAATTAACTGAACATTGGCTGGAAGACGACTTAAGAACAATTGCTTCATAATTGTTGGTTCAAGGGTTCGGTCGCCGAGCAGTTGCAACATCCTGCGATATAATTGGGAGGGTTTTCAATCTCCTAACTCCGCTGCCAAAAGTTGTCGGAGACGCTTTTGATCGGAGTCAGATGTCCGTTTTATTATGCCTCCTTTAATTGTACGTACCTATTGTCCTGTGGCGGGTGAAGTAGGAGATCGCGCACTTCTTGGGCTATCTCCGGTTGCAAGGAGCCCACCAAATACGCGTACTTCGTAGCGTCCACCTTGATATGCCTGGTTGTAAACTGTGCCTCAACTTGTGTGAACCATAATGTTGGATCATTGGGCAAGTAGTATGGAAGTTTCAGAGAAACTGATGATATTGCAGGCGGTGCAGCATCTGAAGCAGATACGACAGGTTGTTGCTGTTGAACTTGTTGCTGTTGTCCTTCCATTATTAACTTGATGCAAAGAGTGTGTACTGAAACGTCGGAGGTCACCACTTTAGTGTAAGTGTACGATGAGATGATAAAAATACACCACACTAATTTATATGTAGAACTGTACAATTTATTCCAAGTGAAAAGCGTATTTACAAAATCACTTGAGAAACAAGTTGATGATATATACAAATTGATAGAAAGCGAAAGTAATGTGTACTCTGGGAGGACAAACTGAGGAGTGTCTGTAAAAGTACAAATGTATGTGATATAGCATCACCTTTCATACCATCTGACTAATAAGGATTAGTAATTGCTTGTCCTTGTCTAGTACCTGGGAAACTCATCAACATTCCCAAATGATGTGTGGTCACTTGAATTAAGGCAAATGACTTTAAGGTAAATGACCTTCCTAAGCTTGGTGTATAACCCATGAAGTTGGGATATTAGTTAAAAATGCAAGGTATTATTTACACACAGATCCTATATAAAAATTTACAGATGGTAGTACTGCTACAAAATAATTAATTAATGAGGCCTAATGATAATAAATATCTATTAATAATAGGCCTAATTAAAAGTAAATATTAATTAAAGCAAATTTGTTAACCATTTTATTATGCCATACTACAATATCATCCCTCGGTCCCCCGTGCATCCCAGGCCGGGGGTCCAAGCCCAAGCATTTTAGCCAGTAGCTGAATCAGTTGAGGCCAATTAAACCCTTTGATTTTGTACCAATTAGACCAGTTGAAAGCCATTTGACCCATTGAAAATACCAATTGAACCAGTTGAAACCCATTAGACCAGTTGAAAATCCCAACTGGTCTCAATGTTTTTTACCTGGGTTTGGATAATACCAGTTAGACCCATTGGATTATACCAGTAATAACCCATTGGATAATACCAGTTAGACCCATTGGATAATCCAATTAGACCCATTGGATAATACCAGTTAGACCCATTGGATAATACCAGTTAGACCCATTGGATAATACCAGTTAGACCCATTGTATAATACCAGTTAGATCCATTGAATAATACCAGTTAGACCCATTGGTTAATACCAGTTAGACCCATTGGTTAATACCAGTTAGACCCATTGGTTAATACCAGTTAGACCCATTAGATATTCCAGTTAGACCCATTCGATATTCCAGATAGACCCATTCGATAATGCCCAGTTGGACCCATATTGAACAACACCAGTTGGACCCATTGGATATTACCAGTTCAACCCATTGAACAATACCAGTTGGACAAAATACCAGTTGGACCAATTGGGTAATACTAGTTGAACCAGTTGAAAAATACCAATTGCACCCATTGAACCTCGTTCAACCAGTTGGACCCATTGAAAAATACCAGTTGGACCCATTGAACCGCATTGGACCCATTGGAAATTTCAATGGGCTTCAATGGGAATTTTTACCTGGGAGTTAGTTTGCAAAACCTACTTCCAACGTTAAATGTACATTTATATTTAAACTATTATCTTGCAAACGTTAAGCCAACGTTACGTAAACGTTTGTATTCTTACTCACTGATTGGCAAACCATGTATTAGCGTTTATTTGAGGTTACATGTGCGTTTACTTTTCAACCATTATCACACGAGCCTGTTTCAACGTTACTTATACGTCCATTCTAAATATTAATCGGCGAACCATTCGTTAACGTTTATTAATGTTATCTATACGTTTTCATGGTAATTATTAGCATGCAAACCTACTTATGTTAGATTTACGTGTACGTTTTAAGCACTACCTTACAAAACGATGAATGAACGATACTTTTGCAATCTAACCGTTGTTTTGCGAACCTGTATTAACGTTTATTTAGGATTTTATGTACGTTCACATGATAACAGTTTTATGCGAACCTACTTTTAACATTAAATATGCGTTTGCATTTTAACCATTACATTTTACACGTTAATTCAACGTTACAGATACGTTTAAATTATAATTGTTATTTCGCGAACTATGTGTTAACTTTATTTATGGTTACACAATTACAAGCACATGATAACTGTTAATATGCGAACATACTTTCACTGTTTAATGCACGTTTACATTTTAACCATTACCTTAAAAAACGTTGAATCTACGTTACATACACGTTTACATTCTAACCGTTATTTTGCAAATAATGTGTTAACCTGTATACTTTAGTTTGCATATACGTTAACATGATAACCATGAGTTTGCAAAACCTACTTTCAACGTTAAATGTACATTTTAACATCAACTATTTTCTTGCTAACGTTAAGTCAACGTTACGTATACGTTTGCATTCTCAACCAATGTTTAGCAAACCATATGTTAACATTTCTTTGAGGTTACATGTGCGTTTACATTTCAACCATTATCGCAAGAGCCTATTTCTAACGTTTCTATTATAAACGTTATTTCGCAAACCATGCGTTAACGTTTATCCAAGGTTTTCTGTACGTTTACATTTTAATTATTAGCATGCAAACTTACTTATAATGTTAGATTTACGTTTACATTTTAACCATTACATTACAAAACGTTGAATCAACGTTACATATACTTTTGCATTCTAACCGTTGTTTCGCGAACCATGTGCTAACATTTATCTGAGGTTACATGTCCGTTTACATTTCAACCACTATCACATGAGCCTATTTCTAACGTTACATAAATCGTTCTATTATAAACGTATAACACATTACAAAAACAAAATATGTACTGTAATTACACAGATATAGTGTAGTTGAGCAGCAAAAGCGAAAAAAGCTGCAGTTCTTATAACCAACTCCCTGATCAGTCTCAGCAGTAGAGTATCAGCCCGAGTACCAGTATCTTAATTTAAAACTACAATAGTCGGTAGTACACGACTACTACGGACCGAACGAACGAACGAACGTGAATTTCACCTCCAGCGAGGACAAGACCGGACAGGAGTACCTGGCCAAAAACCATTTTCAATGTGTGGTAAAAAAATAAAAACACAGAGAGACAGCTGCAGTGTGCGCATAGCATAGAATTTATTGGATACTCAATCAATGGATGAATTCATTTTTATTATGTGGTATCCGGTTATTGACGGACGGTTTAATTCAGATTAAAGATTTTTTTTTCTTCCGAGATCAAAATTATGCTATATTATGCTAATTTTTTCTAAAATTATGCCAGCACATATGCTAGATGCTAGATGGGTCCAAATTATGCCAAAAAGCATAATTATGCTAGATCTGGTCACTATGTTTCTAGGTCCTTTTTAATACAAAGCTATGGAAGCCTTAATAAATAGGATACTTTATAAAAATATTATCTAAATTCGCCTCTGAACATTATTTTGGTGGTTAAACAACTTAACTCCTCCAGAATAACTTCGAAAAAGTTTCTCTCTCTCTTTCCTTGAAACTGGAGATGTGATCGGACCCAAATAATCGCATCGAACATTTCTATGGTGCTATGGATTTGTTAACCCTTTATGCTATTTCAGATTGAACAGGACTTCAGAGCTATCTATGGAGACACTGCGGACAAATTTTTGATGAAGGTAACCCCAGAGTTGGCAGGCAGAATATTAACACTTGGAGCTAAGCAAAGTACAGCAACCAACATATTCCATACTACTACTTCCGGTAGGGATATAGTTCAGTACACGCCATAATGATGTAGGTGCCTCATGCATTTGTGAATATAGCCTAAGATTGTAAATGATCAAATAAATGCTTCTCTCAAATAAGCTACTTAGAGATATAAGCCTAGGCTTGCTGTATTCTATTTTGAATAAGCATTGCTGCACCTAATAAATAGAAGTTTATAGCTGATGAAAGGTGTAGTAGATATGGTTGGGCGTAGCGAGAGCGGTTTGGTTTCCTCGAGGTCAGGGTTTCAATCCATTTCGCTTGTGTCCTTGGGCAAGGCACTTCATCTTCATTGCTTCTCTCCACCCAAGAGTATAAGTGGGTACCTAGTATGGTTAAATGCCAATATGCGCTGATGTAGCTGCTGCAACATTAAGGAATACTCCACCAGGGATCTTGAATTTGTGTTCCATAGGCATGTAATCCAATGACAGGGGTAATGATAATGTGAAGCACATACAGGGCTTAATAGTATGCGCTATATAGTAAGTCTACATTTATTATCATAAAAATATTAACAATGTAACCCATTTAGCCACCCAACTTGGACAT